AAAATGAAGTAACGCTTTCTTTCTTGTGAATTTAATTAAATTACCCCCCCCCCCCCCCCTTTTCAGATATAAATGTCCACCTCCCTGTATCCTTCTACGCTCATCATTAACAGCTGTATGACAACTCGGAGGAAATCTGATGGGAAGAGGCATTTATGTGTTTCAGACACAAGTGGACCTCAATGTTTATGGCGCGGCGTAGACATTCTGCTGTCAGAACACAAAAAAATATCACCACTTCAGCACAATGTGAATTTTAACGTCATTGATGTGATGTGTGCTCGCGTGTATGGCTTTCGCCGCTCATTTATTGAATGCTTGATATTTCTTCATACCTTCATCAAGGAAAGAGCAGTAAATCCTACCGCCGTATAAAATGATTCTTCTGTCTTTTTCAGCGAGCTGGTGTCCTCGCTAAGCGGTGATTCTGCCGGTGTCGTGTCCGGTTCTGCACAGAGCCTGTCGGTGAGGGCCTGGTTCCGCTGTGTTCTACAGCAGCACCTTCATAAGAACCCAGATGGGTCTGACAGCAGAACAGGTAATGCCACCGAGTCTACAATGTGATTAACAAATAATAACCATCCATTGAACGGCAGGAAAAATCGACTTAGACACAGGTGTGTATGGAATTTCTGGCATATTAGGGAATTCAGAGAGAGGTGTATCACCAAACAACAAATAACACATTTTTTACTTTTGGTAAAACAGGAAGTATCTGTAAATCCCGGTAACTAGTTTCGACAGAAACCCTGAGAGGTAGTGAGAAAAAACAATTGTGGTGACCCATTTCCTAAAAAGTTTATGATTCAAGAACAGATGTAAAAAAGAGAGAATCCGGAGGGAGAAAAAGTTTTTCCATAATCGTTTTTTTCGTTTATTTTGTAATACTCATTTTGGCCACAAGAGGCTGAGGGTTAGAAATAGGACTAAAAACGATTTCTTCCAGCTGAGTTTTAATTTCTAAATCCACTCCATAAACACGAGGTACATAAAGTGTGTAAGCAAGTTCTGTAACATTACTGTCATGTCTTTCTTTTGGCTAGAAATGCATGTAACCTAAATATGAATGCATTTAGTCCTGTTTAGAACTTCAGTCTCTTGTGACCTAAATGAGTATAACAACAACAAACACACATTTAATAGGTTTTTTTTATTATTATTTTGAGTGACGGGTTACACCAACAACACATTTTAGAAATGTTTCTGGACTCAAAACAAAATCCTAAAGCTTCACGACTCCAGCTCTGCTCTGAATTGAGAAACTGTTCCGTCTTTGTGGAGAAGAGTCTTCGGCTCGTTACCTTGTTACCTGCATGTCTTGTATCAAATATGAACGCCCGCTTTGCTTCCAGGCCGGGATGTGGAGGGGCAGCTGTGTGAACTGACCCGGCTCGTGCTGAGACTACCCGAGGTGGACGGCCTCCTGCAGAGAGCGGGCCTCCAGCCCACAGCCTCGAGGCTAGAGCCCACTTCAGCCCTGGAGCTTTTTGTCAAGGTAACGCATTCTCACACGTGTCAAATACACACAGTTTCTGAGGGATAGTCAATGTCTCTTCATCCTCAGTTTATGCATATACGACCTAAAGTATCCAGCATATCTTACGTCGCCTTTACTGCACTACATGTGACGTATGCTTCATGCCGGTCGCTACCACAGTGGCCTGTATTTGAATGCAGATATTTCCATGGATTCATTCTCTTGTCATGGTGTCAGGCTGTCGGCAGTGTGTACAGTGGACTGCAGGTTTTGTCCGAGCGCTCGGCCATGGTGACCAGAGCCCTGGACTACGTTGGCGATATCCTGAAACACGTTAAACCGTCTCTCGTCAGCAAGAGCCAAGAGGGACTGCAGCTGGTTTACTGGGCTGTCGGTAGGTGCAGAATAGACACAGCTTCAGAAGCACTTTGTTTTTTTAATTTGTTTTTTATTTTAATAATTTAATTAATTTAAAAATTACAGTTGCTTTGTTCTGTTTGATTCAGGCTGCATAGTGAAGCACTGGAGCCCCCTGCTGGCCACATCTAAAGCCCAGCAGCTGCTGTTCCGTATTGTGGACGGGCTGCTGCTTCCACACAACCTCACACAGCAGGACAAAGCACTCAGGGACAGCCTGCCTCTGTATTTACAGGTTAGGTGTATATGTATATGTATATATATGTATGTATATGTATATGTGTCTATATATATATATGTATATATATGTATGTATATGTATATGTGTCTATATATATATATATATATATATATACACACACACACACATATACACACATATACACACACACACACACACATGTATAGTACCCTGAGTCACGTCTTCAGGACACGCAACAGGCCTCACCCATGTCTTTACTTTGTCCAGATGTTTTCATACTGACTCTTTCTTTAATGTATTACCCTGCAGGGTCTGTCAGTGGCTTCCAGCGTGTCTCAGTCGCAGGGCGCCCACCTGAAGCAGCAGCTCCGCTCTGTTACCCGCAGATATCTGGACCATTTCCTTCCCGCCTCACCTTCCTTGGGCATCATTGCCAACCACCCAGTGCTTCTGAGTGCCTGTGAGGCCACGCCCACCCCCCGAGGAGCAGCGCTGAGGAGGACCATCCTGGAGGTGCTCTGGTAGGTCTCTAGAGGTGGGGTGTTGTTGGCCCGTCATGGCCCCACCAACCACCTGACTTTGACATTCATTTCATTCATTTGTTGTCCACTGTTACTCCAAAAATATATTTGTTAAACGATGTTGTTCTCCTACAGAACTGAAAGTTCTTGTAAATATCCCTGTCTCCCAGCGAGAGCTTCCTGCAGTTTAAAGGTCACGCCCCTCCCCCTCGTCTAGCGGCCGTCCTGATGTTCCTGCTGGAGCTTCTGAGACGGAACAGTGACTCAGACCCCGCCCTCCTCACTCTGCCCCTCCCCTCCCTGCTGCGCTGCGTGATGCTGGTCAACGAGCCGCAGGGTAAGATCACGCGTGTGCATGTTCGCACAGAATAAATCCGGAGCTTATAAAGTGTCGTTTTTTCTACATTGAGTGTGAGCGCCTAAACATTTTTGATACAGAGGGGCATCCTTGGGTTCCACTTGGCACCGCGCTCCTCAGAATGTCCTTGTCTAGCAATCTTGGCAGTCGGTGGAAGAAACGAGCTGAATGCTGTGAAAGAGAACTTTCTTCAGTTATCTCCACAGTAATATGAATAAGTGTCTTACCAGACTACCCTCCTTGTCAGTCGTGTGAGCTCTGTTTTTAGGAAGAGGGTCCCTGACTTCATACAGGAAACGGTCCTAATGTGAGCCACTAAAAGGACCACCGTCCTGTAAATAATAATAATAAGTTGTTTAACACAGTGATGACGTGTATGACTGCAATTTTGATTAATTACAGCAAATGTTACGTCCTTTTTTTGTTCGTGCTGAAGGTTATCCAAAATAAATCTGACCAGGCATGCGTTTGCGTCAGCTTCACTAGCAACTCAATAAATGCAGTAATCATAGCACTTACTTACTATCAGCGAGGTGGTTGCAAACATGTCCTTAACGCTTACAATTTCAATCAATCCTCACTGTGGGGCAAATTATACGGGAAAAAACACCCAATCAAGTTTGTGTTTGTAGTAATCGCTGAAGGGCTGTCTAATCATATCAGTGTGTATTGTTTCTTTGGGTGGTGGGGGGGGGTTCTGTGCAGTGAGGAGGACGAGCACAGATGCCTTACAGCTTGTGGTGGAGCGATGTGCTGCTGCATCTACAGCCGGGCCGTGTGACCGGATGATCGCCGCTTTGCGGTAATTGACAATAATGTCTAGCAAGTAAAGAGCACAGACCCCTGACACAGTTACTGTAGCCACTATCTATATCACATTTAAAGCCTATTTGATCCTTTCTACTTTTTGTGTAATCCCAAATGCTCCTAGGTCATTCGTGGAGGAGAACGAGGGAGTCTACGACAGACAGGTGTACGGTGTCCTGGAGACGGTGTCTGTTCTGGACCCGTCTGCGGTTCAAGCTCTCCTTCCCAACCTGTCTCTCAGTCTGAGGAACACCGAACGCAAGAGAGGGCTGGGCAGGAACACCGCCTTGAGGTAAGCAGGCGCATGAATCACATGGTGGAAGCCACGTAGACGGCATTCATCGCCTTGGACTATTTATAAGTTGTCTAGACGATAAGCAGGTGTACAGAACTGGAACTGTTCTTTAGCTGTATGCTTTATTGAATGTGTCCACTAATGTGACCGCTCCGTGTCTCTGTGTTACAGGAGTGCATATAGGAAGTTGCTGGGCCTCCTCGGAGAGAGTGGGCAGGCAGAAATAACCAGCCTGGAAGCGGACTGAGAATGGGTTGTTTTTTTTAAGGACCAGCTCCAGGACCTGTCGCCAGCACCAAAAAACACTTTTTAGTCATACAACCTTTTTTTTGTGCCAAAATTCTTAATTTGGTCATTAAGAAAATGACAGTGCTGCTAATCAGGCTATCCAACAAAGCATGAGGGTTCAGTGTATTTCATTAGCCGAGTTAATGTCAACACCTGATGTGCTGGAACAGGTATATGAAACTGTGAATATTTAAGATGCCTTAACAGCTGTACTTAAAAAGGGACAGTTCACCCCAAAATCAAACGTACATATATTGTTTTCCTCTTACCTATAGTGCTATTTATCAATCTCTATTGTTCTGGTGTTGGTCCTATTGAATATAATGGAATTGTATGGCACTCCACAAAAAAACTCAACAGCAATGTACTCATGACCTGGTTACTCGAGATAATCCACAGCCCTTATTGTGAGCACTTTCATGTAGGAACTATTTTCTTGATACGGAACTACACCCGCTACAGAAGGAAGCATGCATCTACTCGTGGACCGGAGGCTCGTGAAAGCTGCAACGATAGCTAGCTCAGTGGTGCTAGGTGAGCTAGCCGTATCGAGAATAAATGCACGCTTTTCTTTTTTCCTGCGCGGTCATACGGTTGCCGGGTAGAGAGAAAATAGTTCCTATATGAAACTGCTCACAACAAGAACTGTGGATTATTTTGATTAACCGGGTGATGATTTCTGGAAAGAGACGCTTTGAACACATCAAGCAGAGTGGCCTCTAGTTCAATTATACTGGCGAGAAGGCAGACATCTCTACGGCCCGTATCTCCAACGCTCTGCCACTCCCACCAAAACATTCTACATTGATAAATAGCACAACAGGTAAGATTTTGGGGTGAACTGTCCCTTTTTAAAGAATATGTTCCAATCATGGACTATAAGCATGATATCACCAGGTTGGATATAATGTACATATTGTAAAAAAAAAAAACAGGTGCAGCTTTGCATTTTGGAAGATGCATTATTAACGAAATAAAATGTGACAGTAAATACAAATACACTCATGGGTCTCTCCATCGTTTCATTTCAGCTCCGTAGTGAGAGAAGTGAGGAGCGCGTGCACCGAAGGCAGCACACAGACTATTCGTGCTTATAACCATCAGGTGCCGGATCTGTCTCTACGCGGTTGGCACTCTGAGTTACAGATTTGATGACAGTCGTGGGAGAGCCAGAGAGTTCAGTATCAAGAAAAAAAAAAAGTGAAAGAGAGGAGTACTGTTTGTTCCAATTGTCTATCGCCCTTCCAAGTCACAGCAATCTCTCACGATCCGACTTTAGTTTACACCGAATCACATGAAGTCTCACTCCCGTCTCCCACAATCACCAAATCCTATTTTCTGTCATCGCTAGTCATTTCCAGCCTCATCAAATGTTGATGCATGCATCCCTTCATCGGAGCAGCAGACTGCTGCACCGACGCTATTGGAGGGGGATGGAGGCGCGACAGAAAGGCAGTAGAAGTGATGCTTTGAGTTAGCGTTCAGTAATCTGCTGGATAATTCAGCTTCTTCCCATCATAGCTATTAATAACAGCCCTTATAGAATACATTCTAGATAAATTCATGTTGCTTCTTTATTCTGAAAATGTGCCATAAATATTCTTTCACACATGTTTTGGACAGAAGAGGGAAGTGCAGAGGGATGTTTCCTTTCTTTTGGTTAAAGTATATATATCTTTTTTTAAATCAGCACAATGGTGTGTTACATAACATTGTATAGACACTTTTTTGGGGGGAAATATTCTCTGAATGATGACAGACATAAACAGTCTTGGGTCCTGAGCAATGTCACTCATTTGTGTCACTGCTGATGCAGAAAAGTATTCTTTTTTTTTTCTTTTTTTTTTACCACCTTATTTAAATGTTAATAAAAAAATGACATGGTTGTTTAAGCTTCCGGCTCTTGACACCTTCAACACAACCTGCAATTTCAAAATGCATGCGAGCCAATGAGAAGACGGTCCTCTATATGTTGGAAAGAAAACACATCCTGCACGTTCTTCAGGCCACCAAAGTGATTCTAGAGGTTTGATGGAGATATTCTTCAGTGATTGAAACCCTTATAACGGGTTACAAAGAGGACAGTTTGCTTTGAACTCCTATGAACAATTGAGCAATTCAGTAATGTCCGCTTCCCACAAGTCACTTATTGGTAATGCGATTGGCATGTTGTTCCCGTCTTCTGAGGGGATTTTAATCCCTTCAGGAGTTAGGGATGAATGCTGTCTCAGTCTTTGGGGAAATACAACAGCTATATGCTGTATTATTGTGGCATCTGCTTGTTTTGTTTGAGATTCCTAGAAGCTTGCAGGATAACACGGCTCTTGTATCCCAGGAAAGCGTTACTACATATGAGGTCTCACAGAAATCCCTGTACACTCCTGTGACGTGACATGGCAGGTTCCAGCAGGATCGCTATGAGCAGGTCCGTTTTTGTGAGCCACGTTTGCAAATACTGATGGCCCAGAGTGTTTGTGTTTTTGTTTTTTGTCTGTTTTTTTGTGTTCCTCTGGTTTTAAACGGCACCTATCCTGTGATGGGGTACTTGTAGAGTCTGTAGGTTCGGGCAGGTGAAGTAAGGAGCCGGGAGGAAGCAAGTCGCTATCCCGTTGGAGGCGAATGGCAGTGTTGGCCCGTAGAAAACCTCCTCCTTCCCCTCTGTGCTCAGATCCAGCACCTGGAAACACAAAATTCATATCAGTTTGGGGGTTTGTCTGTCGAGTGATACTTTTACATGTAATATTTTACTAGCTTGTGTGTGCTCAACTGGCAGTATTTCTGAAGGCAGCCTTAATACGAATATTTTCAATCAAGCTATTCAATGGCTATTTCATCGCTGTTTCACTTAACTCTATTAACAGCATGTTATCGACAGAATCCATATTACTCTATCTGTTGTGAAGCTTAAATAACAATAAAAAAAAAAGCCCCATCTCTCACCTGAATGCATGCCAGAGGCTCATTGGTCCAAATGGAGTATCCTCCAACCACATAGATCCTGTCATCGTGGACGGCTACTCCGGACTCATTTTGACCTGGGGAGGACAAAGAGCCAACACAATGCTTCACTGTGCAAAGCAGAGGGCATTCTGAGTATGACTTCCGTGTCCTCCACACCCCCACCCCCCTTCTCCCTGGTGGGGGCAGAGACAGAGAGAGATAAATGGGGAAAGATGGGGCGAGGGCGGGAGTGTATGGAGATTGAGCCCCTTTTCTCTTTGCCCGTGACTTTGTTTTAAACTTTAGCAGATATCACGGGAGGAGGAGAGAACAAAAGAAGAAAGTCAGACAGGAGGAGAGAAGGTGGTTGGAATAGTAAAGTCACCTGAACTTTAAACCCCCTGAGCCTTCATTGAAGGCATGAATCGACAGAAAATGACCACATCCTATAGCATATGCAATACGATTGTGCCTTTAGGTCCAGGCTGGTGGAGGTGGTACTCCATCCCACCTCCATCAGCCTGGAGGCTATAGATGCAGGATGCCCACGGCTCATAAGTAGGGATGTATGTGTTTTCACTGGAGCGCCCTACCGCCTCCTCACAACCAGCGGGATGCATTATGGGTTATGTTTTTATCTAATGAGGAGGATAAAGCAGAGAGATTTACTCAACATATGTTTCTAAGCACCACATGCAATACAGCATTGGGATTTAAAAATACACTGTTTGAGATGAATTTGCATTGAAGCCCCTGACATTAAATATTCACGACTAAGTAAGCTACATTCAAAGATCTAGTTAGAATAAAATTGATGTATTTAGACTTGAATGCTGGAGAAGTCAGCTCATCTACTTCATCAGGACTGTGCGGGTGTGGTTTAATCAGACTGAATTGACCTGGCGACAAACAATGGCCCCACATCAGTCCTCACATTTAGATTCAAATGGCTCTAAATCCTGATTGGTGCGCGGAAGGATGTGACAAAATCTTTCTTTTTGCTCTCTCTCTCTCTCTCTCTCTCTCTCTCTCTCTCTCTCTCTCTCTCGTCAAATAACCACAACGGTTCCAACTTTGGCAGAAAACTGCTTTCATGTACGACCCCATCGATCATCGAAGCTGACTGAGAAAGCATGTTCTCAGGGCCTTTAACGGAAAAGTTGACCGGGACTACATCACTTTTTGCTTCGTTTTGCTTTCTACCAACTCCTGACGGGAATATCTGGCTCTCCACCTGCTAAATGCTTCACACTGTTTAAATGTTGTTAATATAGTGAAGGTAGAATAGTAACTTAGAACTCCCTCAAACAACGGCCTCCTGAGGCCAAAAACAACAAATCGGCATAAAAGTTGTGAGCCAGAAAATCAAATCAAAGAGCTGAAAGACGCTGTGAAGCTCCTTAAACTGCAGAGTCAGGTGATAATCACTACGAACGACCCCTCTTACATACAAATCGTCGTTTCATCCAGTGCTCATATAAAAAACACTTTAAAATATCTCGACTAAAACTAAAAAGGTTGGTTCCAGAGCTAAAGATGTGAAAGAGCTGCACTTGGCAGTTCCCCCCGTTATCCTCCCCAAATTGCAGTGACATAATGACCAAGTTTGAATTCCAAGGACCGCAACACCCACAATTTACATAATGTGACAGTTTACGCAACATTGCATGTGGCGACGAGAATCAGCCATTTTTGTTATAGAAGTCTTATAAGGCTGCAAGAATAGCCGACTATGTTTGTGTCTACATTCCCTTGGAAGGAAAGAACGCTCGCAGACCAGAGGGGTAGATGAATGGGTTACTATCAACCGACTGATCATCCCCTGTACACATGTGGAAGTGTATGCGTGGTGGCGTGGTGGCGTGTGTGGTGTCTTCCCTTCGCCCACCCGTGAGGAGGCTGAAGGAGCAGCGCGTCCACTGGTCCAGGTCCATGTTGTAGGAGTCGATGTGGCGGACCAGGATGCGGTCGTTGTTGTAGTCCAGGTCGTTGCCGCCCAGCACGTAGAGCTGCCTCCTCACCGCCGCCATGACGTGGTAAACTCGCCTCTGCAACATGGGACTGCGGGCCAGCCACTGGTCCTGAGGAGGTGATGGTGGTGGAGAGTGGATACAGGGGGGGAAGGAAGAAAACGATTCGATGCAGGTGAGATGTGGTATGAGGAGGGAGAGAGAGAAACGGAGAGGGTGGGATGGGAAAGGAGGATGAATAGGAAGATTAATATTTAAGCATATCCATGCATGGGTAATTGATGTATGCTCAGCGCTGGATAAATAACGTGACACTGGAGCTCTGGTTTCTACTAATGACTTCCCTCCCTATTTCTAATCATATGTTTCAGCCACTCCATTTTACACCGAGGAGCCCTGCTCATTTCACTAAGTGTGTCGAAGCTTATTTTGTGTCTTTGTGTCTCTGTGTGTGTGTATGTGTGTGTGTTTGATTGAGGCAGAGAATGAGTGTGTGTGTGTCTGCTGGGAGCTGACGGGTGGCCATCTGTTGAGGGTAGAGTGGGTGGGGGGTTGCTGTTGCTCTGGCAGGTGAATGTAGATTCATGGCGAATACAAATGAGACTCTCTCCCTCTCGCTCGCCTCTTCGCTCGCTCGCTCCTCCACGCCACGACGTGCACAAACGCACAGACCCATATGGATGTGCACCTCATACGCGTATACACACACACACACATGCCACATACCTCCGCACTATATACAGCCTCACCAGGACGCAGCCCTCTTTAACAGCTGGCTTATATACATAACACAAACAGAAGCTGCAGCTACATTCCAACGCAGACAGTTGTGTGAGTATTGCAAACACAGATATGTTTAATTGTCATGCCGAGATTCAAGGCTGCGACCAAATAGATCGGATTGTTTCGCTCTGTATTTAGGATAAAATGTCGTAACCTTGTAGAGGTAATATTGGGAGGGTTTCTATTTACATTTACACATTACAGTACCAGTACTACAAATCACACATGCAGTACTTTACTGTGGGTTGTATTCTAAAACAAGCTGCAGAGGTTTCACGTTTGTTGTGTAGGGGTTTTTTTTCTTCTTTTTTCCACGATGCCGATGGTTTCCATATGGTGTGGAAAATCAATTAGCAGACTCTTGACACCTGCCTGTCGTGTAATCCATCACGGCCAACAAAGTGTCTGCATTCATTTTCTGAAAGGGGCCATTATTGTTGCATTTATGCTGTTTAAGTGTGGTTGGAGGTTTTTTTCATTTTGTTTTTTCATTTTGTTTATATAGCCTAAAATCATAAATTTGTCTTAGATGGCTTTAAAATGTGAACACTATAGGATGCCCTCCATCCTTAAACCTTTTAGTCAGGTTAGGAAATACTCTCATCAGTGGAGAGACAATAGAGATCAACACAGGACGGAGAGTTAAATCTTGAATTACAATATAGTTACAGTATTAAGTAAATAAAGTACATTGCTCACATATAATTTGTAGCACGATGGGTTACATAACTCAGGAGGAAGCGAGTCTGACAACTGACTGTACAGAACCAAATCAGCGTGGGAGTTACTGGCACAAATTCACCTGCAAGGAGCATGGAGAAGGGAACGCAGTCTTAAGGGGTTTTTAAAACTATAGCAACACTTGTAGTGTTGAGAACATCAGACTAACACGGTTGTGGCAGACTCTGATGACTGGTAGCGCTGTTGCCGGTTTGCAAGCTGCTCCAAACGTCTGTGGAATGCACAAATAAGACAATGAAAGTGGAGTGTGCCCTGATCCGACTCCTGATTTTAGACCCCGATGGTGACTTCGAGCAGAAACACTTGCGTCCAACAGTAAAGTTGTTCTTGATATCGAGTGGTACAAGTGTTCCTGGAGATTTGACCCTATGACCCTAATATGTTGAAACATTTATTAATTGATTTATTTATTTGTAAAGCAGGCGGCAACCTCCAGGTCTAAAAAAGCGAAGCCAATGCGGAAGTGTCTTAAATTTGCATTCTCTCTAATGGCCATCAGGGGGCGACGCCTCTGGTTGTATAGAAGTCTATGAGAAAATGACTCTACTTCTCACTTGATTTATTACCTCAGTAAACATTGTAAACAAGAGTTTATGGTCTCAATCTCTAGTTTCAAGTCTTCTTCAATACAGCATGATGTTCATTTAGTAAATGATGGTCCATTTAGAGTCAAACAGACCATAAAGCAGGGTATGCTTTAGGGCGGGGCAACTTTGTGGTTGACGGGTTGCTACCACGCCGGCCAGTCTGGGTGTTGTCCGTGTTTTTGTCTGAGAACTTGAACCTTTTTACAGTGTGTTTTCAGTTCATGAAAGTTAATTCTAACATTTTGGTCGCCAAAAAAAAGTGTTTTGTTGTACTTAGCTCCACCCTCTGGTGTCACTTCTGGTTTTAAAAAGCCAAGACGGCGATGGCGAAAATGTCACAATCAAGGATGACTGTGTCCACTTCTCATATACAGCCTACGCCAGGGGTCGCCAATAGGCGGACCGTGGTCCGGATCCGGACCCAGACGCCGTTGTATCCGGACCCAGGACCTAAAACCGATAATTGAGAATTATTAAATTTTGACGGAGCGCCTCTATTTTAACCGGCGCAGCTTTTTCAGCCTTTACGGTACTTGTTCAGCGGTGCAAATCACATCACGTGATGCAGTTCGGCCAATCAAATATGGGTATTCTGACAAGTTTCCTGAATCGAGTGAGATACACACACGGGAGAGAGAGGAGAGAGGACGAAGAGTAGGAGAATAATTACGTGAGTCAGAGAAGTTATTTCACATGACGAGAGAAAAGTGGTCAAAGAGACCAGAGTCTTTAACCAAGAATGAACAGACTCTTATAGGTTAATTCTTCACACGGACAGTTTAAAACCAGTGTGTCTCATATGTTCAGGGACCGTGACGATTAAAAGCGGTAATATGAAGCGCCACTACGAGGCAAAGCACAACTCTTTTGAACAAACATATCCTCTCACATCTAAATGAAGACACAGAAAATAAACCTAAGAGCCCAATATGATCAGACTCTAACACGTTAATTCACTGACCAACAATGATGTTAACAAAGAGAATAGAGCTGAAACAAGTGGTTTAATAACCACAGATAAAGTCCATGCTCACTGATTTCTCTTGTTAGAAGATGAGAAAAATATAATATCGTGGCTTTTTTATTGACATCACTTCACACCCGAATGAACTGAATTTAAAGCTGCAGGACAATTCAGTGAAATAGATTTTTCTAAAATGAAGTACTTTATTTTAAGATGCACATTCTTCAAAAGCTTTCTGTTATGTCAGTTATTCTTCAATCCAGCCCTTATTTTGCTTGAAATGAGAAGAACATGTATTTATGTATTTCTATGTATTATTTATAATCCATCCAGTTAAATTTGAAAACTGAGAATAATAATTGTTAAAATATAATTGATGTGTACTTTCTTTATTTGATTTGACAGTTGTTGACTACACAGAGACGTTGTTACTACTACTAGGCTACTTCAATATATATATATATATATATATATATATATATATATATATATATATATATATATATATGTATATATGGCACTAAATAGCGCAAGTTAGATATTATTGTAATGTTCCGGACCTTTGCCCGAGGAGATTTTCTCAATCTGGACCTTTTGGAATTTTAATTGAAGACCCCTGGTCTACGCTGATGAGCATGGACTGTACATAAGCGCTGATGAGAGCAGTGACACTGAACCAAAACAGGAAGGTTGCAGGCCGTAAAACCGAGACAATGAGCTGAAAAAGCTAAAAGAACTGATAAGAACTGTACCGTTAAATCTCTGTGGGTCAGTCACAACAAGCGACACCTTTCACAATACACACAATCATCCATCGTTAATATGGAACTATTGATTCAAGCAGCTTTAAAAACAATATTGTCAGCAGTAACACAATATACTACACTACTCAAGTACACATATGATAGAAAAACACACTCAATTGTCAGAAAAAAGGCCTGCGATCACTGTGAGATCATCATTATGAGATCACTTCACAGTTACCTGTTCTGGGTCGTACACCATCAGTCGGTTCTGGTACTGAGCTGTGTTTGTCACCCCGCCTGTAACACAAAGGAACAACATCTTTTTTTTTTTTAGGGAGCAAAACATTTAGGTGCATCGAGCAGCGTATTTCTGGACTCCATGTCGAGGGTGTGTCTCAAGGTAAATGTAATGCATGTGCGAGAGTGTGTGAGTGTCTTGCGTCCGTTTCCCTGTATCGCTCCTGTACCTGAGACCCAGAGCAGGCTGTCGGCCACGCAGCCGGCGTGGCAGGACAGCGAGCGGTCGAAGGGTTGTACAAACATCCATTTGTTCCTCTTGGGGCAGTAGCGCTCCACAGAGGGCAGCACCTGCCTCAGCTCGTTCCTGCCCCCCACTGCGTACAGGTACTGGCCCAGCACGCCCAGGACAAAGTGTTCTCTGCAGGCCTTCATGGGGGCGATCTCGGTCCAGCAGTTTCCCCTGGAGTCGTACCGACAAGCAGTCCTCACGGCACACGTCCTCCCGGTGGCGTGCTCCACCTCCCCGCCCACGACAAACAGGAAGTTCCCCATCACGGCCACGCAGTGGTGGCTGCGCCCGGTGGGCATGGGCGCCAGCTCGCTCCAGTTCGACCCGCCGGCGACACGCACGTGCTCCTGCGCGGCCGGGTCGAAGTAGCGCAGCTCCCTGACCCTGCTCACCTCCCGCTTGCGCCCGCCGGCTATGTAGAGGGTGAGGGACTGGAAGCGAGGCCTGGTGCGGGCTGACTGGCGGAGGGGCTGGGCGAAGGTGGCGCGGTGGTAGTCCAGGGCCTCCTCCACGAGGGCCGCGGCAGTCGGGCTGGACTGGACCAGAGAGTGGCTGCGGGCGAGATGGTGCAGCGTGGGGACGTCCATCAGGCCGTAGCGGACGTGTTGGAGCAGATCATCGGCGTACTGGTGGCGGCAGTCGTGGTCCAGCCACAGAACGACCAACTATATGCAGAGGGGGTGGAGAAGAACTGAGTGAGTTGTAGCCTCCTTCACAAAAAGAGTTAAATGGGTCGGATGAAGCTCAAATTCAGTATCCACTCAACTCTAAATAAAGGAAAATTGACATATTTAATGTACAGTTTGAAGGATACATGAAAATGATTGTTTCATTATGGGCTTGATGATTTATTGGCTTTATTTGGGGTACCCTGTTTTATATTCTTGGTGCTTTGCCTCTTTTGGTTATCATTGATAAAAACAAGTTGAACCTAATCAATATGCTTCTTTTCTGAGTGAAGGGAGGGTCAGGAGATAACTCTGTTTTTTAAAGATTGAAAGATATGGTTCAGCGTCCTCTCTACCCAAAGACTTTCCATGCAGTCCCTTAAAAAGGGAGACGGTCGGTATGAAAAGCACGAAAGACCAGAGGATTGAAAACATGAAAACAGGAGAGAGAGAAATGAGCGGAGGCTGCTAATCAGATTTATTTTTCTAGACAACTAGGCTATTATGGCAAGACGGAGGCCCGCCCGCCCGCACGGCATCAGTACTTGCCAGCACACACACGCACAACTATGTATTAATCAGCAGCATTCAGTATACACACTGTAAATATCCACAGGCACCTTCCTTTGTTTAATGCAGGCGAACCGGGTTGCAGAGAATTTAATTGAACTTGAGAGCGGTGGAAGGTTATTTAGTTGCGACGAGGTGTGAACGTGGGCGAGATGACTGGAGATCACCGATACCATTACGGGGAAAACAAAGCGAATTTTTTAAAGTAGAGATGGAGAATTTGGTACAGCAGAATAATGACGGTCCACAGCATCACACCAGGAATCAAAACGCAGCATTCGCTGTATGATGTGTCGAGGAAATACTGTGTGCTAAACAGCTTTCCCTTTACTTCCTCTCAATTGCACTCTAAAGGTGTGAATATTCGAGAAACATGCAAGTCAGGATTGTCTTTTTATGCTATCTGTGCCACTCTCTTGTCTCTACCTCACTTTCTCTATTGCTCACCCCGCCTCTCTCCTCCTCCTTGCTCTGAAGTGACAGTATGTGTGTGTTTCTGAGTGAGAGCGTGTATGTGTGTGTGTGTGTGTGTGCGTGCGCGTGCACTAGCTGACTGTGAAGGTCACGCTGCATCACGCAACTTCCTCAGGGCACAGAATAAATCAACTCCTTCTCCCTCCTTCCCCTACCCACAGAAAGAGAACGTGAGAAAGAGAGAGAGAGTATGTGTGTGAAAGAGAGAGAGTCAGACCACAAAAGAGAGAGTGAGGGTAAGAGATAGTGAGGTAAGGGGGGGGGGGGAGATACAGAGAGGCAGAGTAAAGGATGGCAAGAAAGAGGAGAGAGGGGGGAAGAAAAAAAACAAAGCCAGAGAAAATGTGATTTCCAGAGCGTGAGAGTCTCTAAGAAAACTCTGAGTGACGATGATTGACTGCCAAGCTATATCGGTCCGGTATTGGCTTGCACATCCACCCCCCACCCCCTTTCGGACGACGGCCCCCGCTTGCCGTTCGCTTCCGTCTGATGCCCAAATTAACCTTCTGGGCGAAGTGAAGGAGGCCCAAAGCAGCCTAATCAGAGGCTGATTATGGCGGCGGCGGCTGGCTAAAGGGTCAGGGTAATTGTGCCATCAGAGGCCTGATTGTTTTCAATCAGACGGCCGGCCGAGTGACAGCTGGGGGATTGGGGCCCTGATGGAGCCGCGACGGGCCTAATCAGAGAAGAGAAGGGGAGACAGACAGAGAGGGAGAGAGAGAGAGAGAGAGAGAGAGCGGGGAGGGGCGGAAAAAGGGGGAGGCTGATTGGTGCAAATGAACAGTCAAAACAGTAAGTCTCCACGAACTCCGTGACACGCGCGCTCGCATGGATGCATGGACCGACGCAGGTGTCCGTCACACGTGCACGCGGTCGAAAACGTCCTACGGCACGTCCTCATTGACACAAACAAACAGTGTGTCCGTGTTTAATTTGTTGCTTATTAGTCCGTGTGGATTCTGTCATGCATTTCTATCTGCGTGTGTAGAACAGTTTGGTGCCACGATGTAATTTGTTCACATTTACAAGCTGAGAGGATTGCACGCTACACTTTAACACCTTGATGTTGCATCCCCAGCCTCTACTTGCGTGGAAAGACCCATGCCCACACACACACACACACACACACACACACACACACACACACACACACTCTTCCAGTACCTTCCATATCTCCTCCTCGCTCAGTGAGGTGAGGCGGTCGCTCTTCAGCACCTCCCTGAGGAGGCGGTAGGGCAGCTGCAGGGCCTCGTCCTGCCGGCTCTGGCTCAGCTCAGACAGATGCTCCACCAGGAAGCCCACCACAGCCTCCTCCAGGGCGGGGAGGTGGAACAGGTCGGCCACGCGGTACAGCTCCAGGTAGTTCACGCTGCTCAGTTCCTGCAGGGTGAATCCATAAACACACGAATGAACGCACGTATTCACCAGAAAGGTTGTCTTTGTACTTACAGACAGTAAAAGATGACTTTAGCTGGATATTGTGATTTAGTTTGAAGGTATAGTCGTAATTTATAAAAAATGTCTGCGATTTTTATTTTTATTCTAGCCATGATTTTGAAAGAATTTGTCACATTTACCAATTATAAGTATCTTCTTCTCCACCCACATAAAAGAGTTGGACATACACACTCATTCCTGATAGATATGTACATATGTACGCCACACATGTGCAGTATGTATTCAGTAACCGTGGGTTGATTTCCATTTCATAGTTAAATGAAAACATTACAGATGCTAAATGAGGTGACAGTCAGGCAGAAATAAAGGAGAGGATAGGAGGTAAATAAAAGAAATCGAGGCCCGACTGGTGGAATAAGACTGCCATCTTCTGGCTGTCCTTCAGCACATGCAGTACAGTACCAACAGGCATCATCTAGTGCTCAACCTGTGATAATATATAATACCTTTATGGATCTCTGGCTTTTAAAGTAGATAATTTGCACTGAAAGTCATTTCACTCATGTTTTACAGAAATAAAGTAAATATAGTGGGTATTTTATTTTGAAAAATCTCTGAATCAGGAAATAAAACAAATTGGATTAAAGTTCTTCATTGAATATTAGAATGATGATTACACAAATAACAAATTACACACACACACACACACACACACACACACACACACACACACACAC